GTATTCTTCTCTAGTATCTCAACGGCTTTCCCGTAGTTATCCTCTCGGAACTTGCCCTGATCATGATAACGACTATAACAACAACGACATCGCCTCCTTACTACTACTACTACTACTACTACTACTACTACTACTACTACTACTACTACTACTACTACTACTACTACTACTACCTTCTCATCGACAGTGAGATAGACTCCATCCCCCATAGAAGGATACACGTAGTGTTGTAGCGGCACCGGCCTGAGGAAGAGAACAGCTCGGCCAAAGACTCGACTTATAATGAATAAAACCTGTAGTCAGTGTAGATCAGATGGCAGGGCTGGTGCTTAATACGGCAAATCCACTCAGCGAATTCCCTCGCATTGGGTATAGTAGCCGAGAGGAAGACGAAGCGTACTGTATCAGGTAAGAGGATCCTGATGGGACAAAGTTTGCCATACCATCCATCCTACACATCAGTACATGGTCTCCTCCCATACAACGCCTCTATCCCTATCCCTCATGTAATGCACCTCGTCGAATATGACCCACTTCACTTCCCGACATACGTCACTTCCTCGATACAGCATGGACCTGGCAAGCGCCCTATGAGATCCCCCTTCCGGTAGACTAGGCCTACCTCAAGATCTCAGTGGTCATAATCATACAACTCGCATTAGGGTTGATGGTTACATCCCCTGTCATCAAACCAACATCACTGCCAAACTCATCAGCGAGATCACGATACTTCTGGTTACTGAGAACACCAAGCTCAATACCACACTTCCGTCACATCAGAGCTTCACCACCCTACCTCAGCGCCTTGATAGGGGACGTGTAAATAACTCTCTGATTGTCCCGCATACTCATAGCAATGGCGTACTCAGCCACTGTAGTCTTACCAGCCGACGTATGCGCCGACACAAGTACCTACCCACCAGCATCCCTACGACATAGCCCCCCATCACAGTGTGGGCCTTACCGATTCACTGCGTTCCAAACAGGATACAGCCTCAGACTGGAATCTATCTAACGTGTAGGGATAGGTCTTCGCGGGTTCGCCCTCATATCTAGTATTGAATCATCTCTCATCAGCCAGCCGAGAATAGCACTACTACTTTGGCAGTCGTTTTTCCTTTGCCCAGTTCGCAGGTAATATACATTCATGAAGACAGTTCTCCCCCGAAGGATATGCCTCAAGAGTAACCTATCATGAATCTTCACCGTGCGAAGGATTA